GCAAATCAAGCAATTTTATTATGTTGCAGCACTTAAACTCATTCGAGCTTTGTAAGACCTTTTTATTTGGAATAAAAAAGCATGGTTTGCAGACCATGCCAGGAAATCATATCCTAACCATCTATACTCGCCCCAGTGAAACTCAAAGACTTCCCTGGATTTTCTTTTCCTCATTCTCTGAATTTTAATCACTGTGTTTTTAGTCTTTGAGTTAACTGAGAAGCCTTTTCATTCTGTGAACTAAGCACATTCCTTCAAAACCACAGGCATCCACTTCTCATTGGATTTATGACAATCACAACATTGGCATGCAGGTAAAAAAAAGAACTCAATTTGCTTTCCCCATCACACCTCTGGTTACCTCAGGGAACCCCATTTCACTGAAAAAAGGAGTAAAGATAATTTCTGGCATCCCAACCATGTCCAAGAATTCCAAAAGGATAGATTCTGCCGTGATCTATCCTTTCCTTTGCACATTTCTCCATCTCTAGCCATTGAATCATATTAGAGTTTTTGCCTTCCAGAAGAAGGTGGAGTTCCAAGGAAAAGAGGTTCCAACAGACAGCAGCCCAGATGAGCTTTCCTTTTTCAGAACAGGCTCCTTAGGAGACTCCTTTTTGCAGCTTAATGAGTTTACGGGTTAAACAATTTTCAAAGATGCTATAGCATGAGAGCACTCTAAACTGAGATTAAGACTTTATTCTTTGTTGGACTCACAATATGGATCACTATAAGCACTTAATAAATATTTAACAAAACTGAGTCAGTACCATTGTAAAAGAGCTAGGTTTTAAAGGTTTTAAATTTGCTTTGTTTTTCCTATCAACATGCACATGTAAATGGGTGGATTATAGCTCAATGTCAGAGAGTAAAGAGTAAGAAAAATTAAGACTACGAGAGTTAAAAGACCTCATATGGTTTATGAGAGAGGGCAAAAATCCTTTTTTCTGTGTTTCCTTTTTTTAGCTGGTTGTTGGGCACACCATTCTGCAAGAGAAAATATGATAACTGCAAGAGAGGAAAATGAAAATTGTGGTCTTTGCAACTAAAAAGCGTCAATTTTGGCTCAAGCAAAGTAAAAGAGCATGGCTTCCAACTTCGATAGCCATGTAATATTCCTAATGATAACAAACATAATTCACACTATAATTATAAAAAAAAAACCCCTCATCTTATCAAAAGTTACTTGGGTTTAATGGCAACAATCTGAGTAGAAGCCATATTCAGAGTATATTAATGCAGATATTTGTATGCCACATGCCCCTTTTCACTTTTAGTCCATTAAGGAAATAAAATTACTTTTCCTACATTTCCCCATTATCGTAAGTGGAATCTTATAGACTTATGGCTATCAAACATAATTAAGTCATTTGAGTTCCTGGGCAGAGAGGAGTAGAGCTATATAAATAGAAAACAAAGACTCATTACTATTCAGTGATCAAACCATTAAATATATAATTTAATGCCATAAAGTATATCTTTGTTTTCTCATCTCCATAGTACACTGTTTTGCAAAGCAGAGAAATAATGGGCTTACTCTGCTTTTATAATTAAAACATCACTTGCAAAGTCTGTAAAGCTCATGGAACTAACCACATTAATGGTGGAGTTGGACTTTTTCTTTTAAGTATTTAAGTTTGAACATAATAGTCATGGTGGTTTTAAAAGTGAATATATTTAAATTGGAGGCAATGTTTTACGAGAGATATCCTTTTCACCAAAATATTTTTTATCATTTGTGAAAGGAAAAGAGATGAAAATAACCTATGATTATAGAAACTGTGAAAGGGTAAAGCTAAGGAGGGCCTTAATCAAATATGTATTTTTAAAAATAAGTACAGAGACAAGTAAATTAAAGTGGTAAGCCTTTAATATAGCAGCTGACAGAATTTCCTAAGCATAAGAGGGCTGTAAAAAAACTACCAAGTATTATGTGGTTTCTTTTGGAGATTAAGAACAACACAGATGTAATATTACCCAGAAAAGGAGAACTGGCTTAGATAATGTCTTGAGATTCCCATGCTTCTTTCACTAGTATAAAGAAAAAAAAAAGAAAAAACGGGAATCTAGACCAAGCCAGTAAGTGAAACCCTAAGCATGTCCACCTGAGTCTTTTGGAGGCTGAGTAGTTTTGAATAGCTGAGTTTTCTGGAGAACTATGTGTATATCATCCCAATAATTAAAATTACTAAAAATGCATTTAAATTCCCCAATATTTTCTCCTTCCTTCAACTTCAAAGATTTTTTTAAAAAATATTATGAGTCATCAAGCTCATTATAGAAATATGGAAAGAATCAGCCATAATTCTATTACCTAGAAAACTACCAAATAACATTTTCTGTTTCTTAAAGTATATTAGACATAATTCAAGGCTACAAAATAATGAGATCCTCAGTCTACATGAGTATTTTCTAAAGCCTAGTACCATGAGAAACATTCTGTATCCAAGGTCCTATTTAGTCCCCACAAGTCAACGAAGTAGGTGTTATTTCTATTTTAGAGATGAAAAAAAAACCAAGATTTTGAGAATTTATTAAGGATCTATAATAAGCCACAGAGCCTAAATTCAAACCCTTTGTCCAGCTCCAAAGACTGACCTCCTAAACTTCTCATAGGATTATATCCTAAAAGGCTACATACTGTTATGAATTTTAAGGGCACCCACATATGTATCCTTTATACACTTTTACTAATTTTTCAAACTTTCCTTACTGTCAAGTTCTTGTTTTTCAGTTTTCAAAGAAGGTATATTTTATCGTTTCCCCACTAACTTTCAAATTTGCTGCTTTAAATTTGCCTAAGCTTGTAACCATAAATAACAAACAAGCTCACTGACATCTTGTGAAACACAAAGGAGATTTCCAGTGGGTGAAGTACATATAGACTTTGTGATACATATGTTATATCCTAGTACAGCTCTGTTCTGAGAGCTGAGATGTTAGTGTTCTGGGTTTGTGACATAAAAGATATGACACTTAAGTCTAAATAGGCATCAGCCAATCCTAAAAAATCAGCATACTCATATCTAAAATGTTTTAATAAGAATTTAGATAGTTATAAATGGAAAGGCACATTACCCAGAGTTAAGAAACTTAGTTATACAAAAGAGTAGAACAGTAACTGTACCTGCAGAAAATATGTTCATATACAGGCTACCAAAAAAAAAAAAAATTCAAATGTGCCATAAAACAAGGCAGAGGAGTCCATAAGGGTATGGAATATTTAAACAAGGAAAGGAAGAGCCTCATTCCATGGTCTGAACTAAAAGGTGAGCCTCAGGTTCAAAAAGTTAGAGGAGACTGCTCCCAATTAACTCTGGCCCAAAAAGGTAAAGGCAGAGCATCAGAAAGAATAATGGATTATAGAAAAAGGAGGCCAGGGGAGTTTGATAAAAATGAAAAAAGATTAACACATGCTTTCTTGTTTTGATTGGGGTAAGAACATTGGATATGAAGTAGAAGAAAGATTGCCCTGAGGGGACACAGGGCTATTATTTCAATCTTGGCTGTGGTCAACCCCACTTATCTTCTACCAAATGTGAACAAATAAGACTCAAAGAGCTATTTTTATCATCTAAGCTTGGCAAGCATGTTGCTTTTAAACCAGATGATATATGTTCCTATTTGATGTGTTATATAAAGTTTCCTTTTGTTCGTGACGTTAATATAAAAGTTTCATTAATCAAGTTATCACTATAATTAAAAGTTATTTGATTATAGTTTCCTAATATCTGATATGGTTATTTTGTAACTGCAGAACATATACCTATGGGAAAAGAGTGACCCAGATGCTTGCAGGGGACCAATGGGTGGCAATTTCAATTGTGCTTTTCTTTCTCTGGCTTCTGTTTCTTGCTAGGCTCTCTCATAAAAGAAAGAAGAAACATGATGTCACTCTGACCTAAAAATCTCTAATTCTTAAGAGACACAGTGTCGATAGAGTGTGTAGCTTAAAGTCTGATGGTTCTAAAGGCCTTCCTGGGTTGCTTCATGTGGATGAGACTCTCAGAATAAGACCCTGACCACATACTTACGACTGAACCCCCATTTCTACCCTTCCATATGATTTTTCTCCTTAAGTATCCCTGTGTCCCAATACTCTTATCAAGCTGATCTGACACATCAGTATCTGAGTTTTTCAGGCCAATAGCTTATAGTTGCCCACTAAAAAATAAAACAAAAATCAAGTTTGTAAGGAAGAGATATTTGCTTGGAATGTAGTAAACGTGGTCTCCCTTTGCCCTCTTTATACTTTATTCAAATAAAATTATAAAGTGTGACTGTAATTTATATCCAGATAATTAAGAACTAATTATCTTACTTCTGCACACATTGTTTATAAATATAAATGACAGCATGTCTCTTAGATGCTTTGGGTACTACGGGAAAAAAGTAGTCCTTGATGAAATACGATAATGATCATACAAATTTGAGTACTAAATATTTAAGCTAATTAGCCACAACTCAAACTTAAGCCACATGGCAAGTACTTATATTATCTTCACATGCAAAGAAAAATGCATGAGCTGCCTAAACGATATAGCATTTTAAAAAATTCCCATTTAGTTACAAGTATTCTGTGGCTATTAATGTCATAGATTGCTTTTAAAGGTCAAAAACATTAAACTGTCTAGAAACATTCTGAACAGTAACAGTACTGCACTGTCAATTTTATTTTCAAATTTTGGTCAATAAGGAGGAAAATAAAGTTAAAGTCAAAAGAGCATCAAAAAAGGATACATACAGAAGATATGAACAGTACAGATTCACTTGCAGTTGATTCAATCTTATTTACACATTTAAAATATAAAACACATCTTAATTTTTCCAGAAGCGGACCAGGAAAGGAACTTTACTTTAGCTTTTTAACCTCAATATCTTGTCACAGGAAAAGAACTTGCATGGACTCTATTGTATTTATCACCATCAATAATATAAAAAAGTATTTAAAAGTAACTGCTTCATATCATTAATTCACAAGTGAGTAAAAAAGAATAAACCTTAAAACTGGGACTACTTGATGTTACGCACAACTCTCCTACAGTGGTTTGTTTTCATCTCCTCCAATGCTTGTTCCAATTGCTGAATCAAATGGAGCAGGGTAGCTGGGTCTGTCTGCAGAACTTTGGTGTTATGATCTTCATTCTGCTTAAGGTGTAGCTTTAGAGTCACTGATGGTTTTATCTGTTGCCTGAGGCTTCTGCTTGCAAGCTTGATTTTAAATGGAATAAGAGTATACAAACTACTTAATAATCATGCTGAATACATATTTATAATTACCTTATACCATACACAAAAATCAAATTTCAGATGAATCACAGACTTCAAAATGAAAAGTAAACTTTAAAACCTTTGAAAAGAAAAAAGAAATGAGACTATCTATGCAACCTTCTCCAGTGTGGAGGGATTCTTAAACATGATATACAAAGCACAAATCACAAAGAAAAAATTACAAATTTAATTACATTAAAATTATTAAATTTTCTTCGAAGGATACCTTAAGATGGTGGGGGAAAAAGCCACAAACTGAGAGAAGATATTCTGTAACACATATACCCAAAAAAAGATTAGCATCCAGAATGTATGAAGAACTGCCCTGATTTATAAGGGAAAAAAACACAAAACTAAGAGAAAAATGTGCAGAAAATCTAAGAAAGCACTTCACAAAAGAAGTAACACAAATAAACATAGGCAAATACACTCAACTTTATTAGGAATCAAGAAAATGGCCAATAAAACCAATGGCCAATAAAATACTGTTTACACATATCAGACTAGCAAGAAGGAAAAACCTATCCATAATGAACACTGCAACTGGTGGGAATAGGAACTCTTATCCATTGCTGGTGAGAGTGATGAGAAAATTGCTTTGGAAAAAAATAACTATTACCAGCAATTTCACCCCTAGGGATAGGCCTTAAAACTCTTACACATATAAATATATTCACAACAGTATTTGTTTCTAAGAGTCAAAGTTAGAAACAACTCAAATATTCTTTAACAACAGAATGGACAAATCCAAAATATTCATACAATGAAATGCTTACTAAATGGCACTATAAAAACATGAATTTTCATGGATAAATCTAAAAAGAAAATGTTCAATAAAAAAGCAAGTTGCAGAATACATGAAAATCTAAGAAATATAGCTTACTGAAAAACCATGTGTAAAAAAATATATAAAGAAAGGATTAACAGAAAATTCAGGATGGTGGTTACCTTGAGGGGGCTGGAAAGGGATTGTCATTGGGGGACTGATTCACAGGTACTGGTTTTGTCCAATTTCTTAAGCTTGCAACGGGTACTTGTTTCATTATTATTCATTAAACTGAATATAATCTTTTGTTTGTACAATATACTCTAAAATTTTAAAAAATACATACTATTGACATATTATTAAAAGAAAAAAAATCCACTAGAAACAATGACCAACTTGCAAGTGATGGTATTTAACCCTAGTACCAGAGTGTGTTTTCTAAAGACCATTCTCTCTTAAAGTAACCAGGACCTCATGGAAGTAATTTAAACGTGGATTTCAAGAATGGGACAGAAATTGTACAAAATGAACCTGCAACATCTTGTTATACAAGAAAGCAAGATTGTTATCTAAGACTATTGGAGTCATGTCAAAAGGACAAAAAGCCAAACTGAAGAGACTTCCAAGTACTGAATCCAAACCTAAAATTTCAGGATTAATTTAATATCAAACAGAATATTCTGACTAATAACTTCTTCCAATTAATTTAGGCAATTTTGGCATCCAAAAGAACTCAAGATACTGATCCAAGGCTGAAATTTAATGTCTCAAAATAATTTGGAAATAATAGGTCAATCCCTTTGGGTGAACTGGTCCCCAAACATAAAAAAGGTAGCTTTTAAAACAGTGGTCCTCAACCTTTCTGGCACCAGAGGACTGGTGCTCCTAAGAGAATCTAATGCCTGATGACCTGAGATGGAGCTGAGGCAGTAATGCTAGCGCTGGGGAGCGGCTGCAAATACAGATAAAGCTTCACTAGCTCGCCTGCCACTCACCTGCTGTGCAGCCCAGTTCCTAATAGGCCACAGACCAATATCAGTCTGCAGCTCAGGAATTAGGGACCCCTGTTTTAAAGTATCTCTTTAAGATCATTTCTCTAGTACAGAATATTATAGATAGGCAAATGGTAATAAATGTGATGAATGAAAATACTACTTACTCATTCAATTATGCATTGTTTATACTTCTTTTTCCTCTATATCTGCACTGACAGAGAGGGACCAAATATATTTAAGAGTGTATTTGAGCCATGAATATTTTGCTGAAAGACTTAAGGTCACTCAATCTATCTTTCAATTTTTAGACAACATGATATCTAAATAACCTTACAGATAAGTATTTATTCCATTCTTTAAAATTCCCAGATAATATCCGTAATGAACGCCCAGTAAGATATAATTAGGCCTAATTTTATCTCAGAAAGAAATATGAATGACACTCAGGAGTACATAGTAAAGAATAGTAGATCACAAAGTTCTTGATATGGACTTATTTTTTAATGGGGAAGAAATTCTGTTCTCTCTGTAAAAATAACCATAGCAACTTTAAATGAATCAGCCCTAAAGGTATCACTCTCCTCAATCTCAGATGAATTCAATTTACTAATGCTATCAACAAAGGCACTAATTATGCTAGTGATTTATGAAATATGGGAAATGCATCTATTAGTAACTAAAGTATGATGTCTAATTTATTTCCCATAAGCAACTGTATAATAATTAGATGGTAACTATCCATTCACTACCAGCCTCCATGAGACAAATCAGTTAATCAAAAATGAAAGGTTCTGTATCTTGTTACCAATTTCTCAGCCTTTAAGCTGGTTTTCATTTAAATCTTCCAATAAGCAAAAGAATACACTCTGGTTAAAATTCCTTATAATAATTTCAACTAATAAGCTCAGGAAATCAATTAGTTGTCTTGAGTAGCTTTTTTAGTCCTTAAATGCATTTCACCATGAGGTAATACACATTCAGTATACCTTCAATTTTAACCATATTAATCCTTGCAGTAACAGTGCTATTCAAACTCACTTAACTGGAAAAATGAGCTCTCTTGAGTTCAACTTTAGAAAATTCAATTGTTTAACTTTCTAACTAATGGAAAACTTAAAACAAATCAATAAAACCAATAAAAGAACTTCTAATAATATCCCTAAAGTCAGAAGGTATATATCCCCACACAAAAAAAGATGTATAAGATAAATTACTGCTG